ATTCAGTCTTGTAAGTCTTATGGAAAGACTGATGAAAGTGCGACACCTTGTGGCAATTATGATTTAATTTTCTATTGAAAATGCTCATAACAGAGGATGCGCAGAAAAACGTGTTAATCATTTTGCTTATAATTCAATACTAATCCCTTGCAGAAAGCCTCATCATAACCACACATCTTTCTATTAAACGCATAAACATCCATCTATCCATCCATCCATATTCTGTTCATCCCATAAGTGTCTGATGGGGTTGAGGTTGGTTGGAAGCACAGAATTTTCCAAAATTCTATGCTTCCAACTTTGTTTGGGGAAAGCCCTTTTCTGTTCCAGCATGACTGTGCACAAAGCCAGGTCCATAAAGACATGGTTGCGACAATTTGGTGTGAAAGAACTTGACTGGCTCACACAGAGTCCTGACCTCAACCCCACTGAACACCTTTGGGATGAAATAGAATGGAGATTGTGAGCCAGGCCTTCACATCCAACATCCTCACAAATGTCCCTCTGTATGAACTGGCAAAAATTCCCACAGACACACCCCAAAATCTTGTGGAAAGCCATCCCAGAAGTGGTAGATGTTATAGCTGCAAAGGAGGGACCGATTTTATATATATATATATATAAACACACACTTCAAGCAATGGCGTGCTTCTTTTCTGATTTTATGGAGATTGTTTGCTGCTATTTTACGGGCTAAGTTAACAGATACAACATCTTCTGAAACGAAAGCATGCTTAAATACGTGCTTTTCTCGCGACAAAAGAGAGAAAAAATCAGCCCTTAAGGTAGCTTCAGCATGTTGTGATACTGCCATCTCATGGACAAATTTCAAAAATGCAAAACTTCGCACGGAACATTACATTAGCCCGTAAAATATCCGCAAACAAATTCAATAAAATCAGGAAAGAAGCACGTCATTGCTTGGAGTCCATATTTTATTATAAGTAAATTAGATAACATTGCAGAAGATCTGCCCAATCATTTATGCTGAAATTAATCAATTTCCCCAAAGATTACTTTGTAACGCTACTGAGAGTGTGAAAGTTTTTCTAAGGTAATGGTCAGCTCATAAGAACGTATGTCCCCAGTCTTATACAGGACTGGATTGGTCATCTGGCATACCCAGTGAGTAGCAGGAGGGACCTCCATTTGGCAAAATATAATATATGGTCCATTCATCATTCCACAGAAATGGAATAAAGTAAACATGATGCTTAAAAATATCCAGAGCTCTGCATGTCCCTGGGTTAAAGAGTGGATGGTTACATGGTTATACCCTGCAGAAGCGTATTGTCCATTTCATCAGGCACATTTCCTCTTTTTCAGTATTTTTCCCCCATTTCCCAGAAGGTCAATTCCAGTTGCTAAATAGTGAACCTACATTTATGAATACTTCTCTCTAAAAATGTACCATAAACACTTTTCATAAAAATATAGCTATAGCAATATATATAAAATTGATTACCTCATTGCATAGGAAGTGTAATGTTATATATTAGGCAAGTAAAATTGAAGTTGATGCGTTGGAAGAAGGAAAAATAGAGAAGTGTGAGGACCTGAGTCACTTGGTCCTGTGGACTATTCCTGGTATGCAGAGGTTGGTTCCTACCAAAAGCAATCCAAATAAGGCCAACTAGTGGACTGGCAATGGGTCATGGGTGCCCAAGGCTCATTGATGTCCATGGGGAGCTTGGGCTAGCCTGTCTGGTCCGATCTCACAAGAGAGCTACTGTAGCACAAATTGCCGAAATAAAGTTAATGCTATGACAGAATGAGCTGAGCTGGGAGACCTTGGGTCCTGGCAATCATGTGGATGTTACCACCTACCTAAACACTGTTGCAGACCAAGTACACCCCTTCATGGCAATGGTATTCCCCGATGGCAGTGGCCTCTTCCACCAGGATAACATGCCATCCTACACTGCAAAAATTGTTTGGGAGTGGTTTAAGGTACATGAGAGAGTGCAAGGTGTTTACTTGGTCTCCAAATTTCCCAGATCTCAATCTTATTGAGCATTTGTCAGATGTGTTGGACAAACAAGTCTGATCCATGGAAACTCCACTTTGCAACTTTCAGGACTTAAAGGATCTGCTGCTAACGTCTTGCTGCCAGATACCAGGACACCTTCAGAGTCCACACCTCATCTGGTCAGAGCTGTTCTGGTGGCAGGAAGGGGAACAACATGATTGGCAGACGGTATTACTGTTATGACTGATAGGTGTGTACATAAGAAAATCTCATATGTTGTGGTTTCATTCCATCTATTGTTTAGCAGAATACCAAGACAGAGAGAACATTTTATCTGATGGTATTTTTCAAAGTTACTGAACCCAAGAAAGGAATGGTTAGATATGTGATAACATTATCTTTCTATGCTATTACCCGTACACCTAACATTTTTATATCTATGGTGAGGTATTGTGAAGAATCAGTTTAAGTCTATGAATTCTAGATTTCAGTACTTTGGGGGGTTTCTATCTTGACCAGTGGTTACTGACAGGTTGAAATCACACCTCAAGACTCATTGCAAGGCATTTCCTACTTGAATTGGATGACGTCAAAGTCTTTGAGTCGTGTTTTCAGGAACATTTGCTGTGGCTGTCTGGGGTTCTGGGAAGGCCAGTCTAAAGATAATAGCTAGTAAATCTGATTTTTTATTCTACCGAGGTGCAGCACCTAGGTCATGTGATATCAGCAGATGGCATAAATAAAGAGAGTAGAAGCAGGGTATGTCAGGCCTACACCAACAAACTGGTTGGAAGTCTGGAGAGGGTTACAGCATATGCTAGTTTTGTTTTAAGCAAAGCAGAATGCCGGTGTGCAACTACATAAAAGGACATGTTAAGTTTGTTTACCTTCATTAACTACTTCAATCATTACTTTTTATGAAAAGAGTTTGTGTTCTGACCTGATCATAAATTCTTGCTTTGGCATCACAACTTTCAAGGGCTGGATGGGCAGTTGGTCAGGTGGATGGGGCAGTTGGCTAGTTTCCAGTACCAGATTGTAGACTGATCATGCAGGCCAACGACATGCAAATGCAGATGTTCTCTCCAGGTTTCCCTCTTTCATTAGCGGGTCAAAAGCTGGTATATCCGCTGGAGAGGATGGAGATCCAGCCTCTGTGGTTGCTGAGGTTTTCATCCATGACCTTCTTCCCACATTAGAATTGGGGCTAGTTCCCTCGCGGGCTCCCTCTCGGGTTGGGCGGGTGGTGGGCCCTTATGCCGTGGGGGTGGTGGGGTGGCCTCGGTTGCCTGGTTCCCCCTGCCTTCGCCTTGGGCCTGGGGGTGGGGGTGGGGAGGGGCACTGTCACGCCCCCCGACAGCATCAACTACCAGCACATCCAATGACAGATCAGTTCACACCTACATGTACACTTGCACATTCAAGAATGGGCGCATACGAGGCTGAGCGATCCGTATCATTATTATTATTACTTTTTAGAGTATCATATAGATAAAGGAATTGAAATATACGTGTATATGTGTATGAGCACATGTGTGTATGCTACATATATATAATGTCTATTTGTATCATCATCATTATTATTATTATTATTATTGTTGTTATAATTTTTTTTATTGTAGTCATCATTAGCATACTATTACCGTTTTGTTGTTTGATGTCCTTTTAATGAGTGTTATGTGTGTTATGGTTGTTTGCCCAATCTGTACACAGCAGGAAAAGATGCTGATGTCACGATCACATGCAAACTTCTTGGTTACCAGACCCTGGATACAGAGCCAGTTAGGCTTTAAAGTGGTACTGGATGGTGGCCCCTATTTCAGCCCTCAAGACTGCCCCTGACAGGAGGCCACCCTTGTGGATGTGTGATTAGATTGCATGAGACTTGAGGACAAGTATATCTGAAAAGGGGGTAATGTGGTGAGTGGGTGGAGGGGCGTTTATAGACATGGTGGAGTGTGATCACCTGTGGATGCTGAACAAGGAAGGCTAGTATGAACCTGTATTGCAGGGCACTAGTGGGGGCAATCACACAATGCAGAAGCGAGCCGGGGGGGTTGAGAAGCAGTCTGTGTGATCGGGACTTTGTTGTGCACAAACTGACTGGGACATCGGTCAAACATGGATTTAGCAAGGAAGTGGACTCCAAGACACCATGAAGTGTTTTGAGGTGGAAGTGTGCATTTTAAAATGGGACTTTATATAGTGAGTGTTCCTGTGTGAGTAATGTGTATGTGTTTGGGGGGGTGGGACTGGGAGTGTTTTAGATGACGCTAAGTTACCCACGGCTGACCAAAGTATTAATGTCTGTATAAGACTACCCTTTTGCGGGGTTGTGTGTTAATTTATAAGGAATCGTATACTGGTTAATTCACCTTGCAGTGCTGTTTGTGTTCCCTGGGGAGTGGCGTGGCTGCACGAACGCGTCTCTATTTTAAACAACTTTCCGATTATTAATAACTGGTTGATTATTAATAACTGGTTCCTGTCTAAGGCGGGCTTAGTGTATGTGGTAAAATTTAAGGAATTTGGAGTTGTCCAGACCTGACCGCCTAAACAAAGGTAGTGGCAGCAAAGGATTCAAATGTGTTAGCGTTAATTTACTGACTGCTTGTTAAGATTGTTCGCTACAGTACGTGTCTTCAGTGGGTTTGTTATTATGGTTGTTTCCGAATTTCAATTCGTTTACAAAGATCATATACATCTGCTAGGGGAAGTTTATGAGTTAACTAGCAGAGTAAAGCAGTCTTTCAGGAACGGCACCTTTTATGACGACGGAACCTGACATGAGATTAAAAATGAGAGTCGATCCTGAAGAATATTTTAAAACGTACATTTTGTGAATCGCTGAATACTTAAGTTTAATATTACTATGAATACACATGATATATTTTTAAATTCTACCAGCTTTTCAGCATTACATGACTACATGTTACGAACAGTAACCTCCAATTCCTTAACCAGCATATTACAAACACTGCCACACTCCTGACCGGCAAAGTCTCGATTGGTCGCTGGTTCCGGCCACTTTCAACACGGAGCCATTTCAGTGTGACACACGTCGCTTTATTATACCCCGCACAATAAACTCAAAAATATTTCAATGCTAAGACTATACTATTAATAAAGCAGTTTAAACTCAGCTGGGACCCAGGGTTACCTTAAAATGAAGCAGGTGAGCTCAAGCACCAGGGGCTTGGTGAAATGTTATCGTAAATTTTATTTTCATTCATTGCTGTTTATATACTGTCATTGTTTGAAGGCGCAAGTTGATGATACAGAAGATGTATCACTGGATTTCGGGGCAGAGGACGAAGAACGGACTTTGAGGAGAGTTAAAATAAGGTGATTCGTTGCTATTTTATATAGAAAATAACCTTACTTTTTGTATAGCAGTCATTTAATGAATAATGAAGCATCGTGTTTCTAATAGTTAATTTAAGAATGGGAGATTTCCCCTCAAGATCTGGTAGCATGTAGGCCTGTCTTATATTTTATAATCACATAATATTAACAAAACTGTTTCGGTTTTTGTTTTCAGGCATCCTTTAGCAACCTTTTTCCACCTCATTTTTCGAATAAGTGCCATTGTGACTTACCTGTTCTGTGACTGGTTCAGCAAGAGTTTCGTCACCTGCTTTGTACTGATCATTACCCTCCTGTCCTTTGACTTCTGGTCTGTTAAGGTAATCAAGCTCTTTCACAGAACGGACGAGAATCAGCTATTAGATCAATAAATTCATTTTGCCTAATTAAGCACTTTCAGACATTGTCGGATGTTGTACTCTATATCTTTTTGGGGTTATAAGCTTTCCCCCTGTTTGTCTCTTTGCAACAGAATGTAACTGGGAGGCTTCTGGTGGGGCTGCGCTGGTGGAATCAGATTGATGAAGATGGCAAAAGTCACTGGGTGTTTGAAGCCAAGAAGGTGACAGAACTGACTTTTAAAGCCATTTTAACAGCAGACTAATTGGGGAAAAAATGTAATTTATTGGTTGGTTAGCTACGGCTGTTAATCATTAACGCGTTCAAAAAGGAACATAAATTAATATTGAATGTTGTCTCATGAAGGTTCTTCATGGAGAGTTACCAAATTAAGGTGTAATTGTGTGAAATCATATTAAATTTAATTAGATGAGTATTTATATATGCAATATAAATAGAGCAGCGTGATTTTGTGTCAGCTGTAGGAGGAGAATAATTTTATTTTTAGGGCTATTACTAGCATCGAGTATTTTCTGGCCAGTGGAGATATTGTTGAATTGGTGGTACACAATGAAGCATCTGCCGATAATTTCAGATATTTATCATCAAGCAACACCCAATTTACTAAAGCAACAAATACAATGTAGCTGGAATAAAAAATACATATATATCTAGTATTAATAACAATAATAATAATAGTAATAATATCTATAAACGTAAATGTTGATAAATATCTAAATGATATGTCATAATATTACGTTAAGTTCCTTTTTTCTCTCTCTTAAAAATAATGCATTGCTCTTGTTTTAAAGAGTGTCAACCATAGAAAATGTGTCTGTAACATTCTGCCAACTTTCCACACTTGACGTTTTGTGCAGTTGCTAATTGGTCTATGCAGTGTGAACGAACGGATTGTTTGTTACGGAGTAATGCATAACAAGGGTGGCCCATAGCCACTTCTGGAGCCATTGCCTGAATGCGGATTGCGGGCAGATCCATCTGCGGCCCCAATTAGGCAGAGCTTGTTCTGCTTCTGTTGGTTTCTCCTCAGAACAAGAACACAGCGACAGAAGCAGAAGCTCGGGTTTTCTGGTTGGGTCTCATCATCTGCCCCATCATTTGGACTGCATTCTTCTTCAGCACCCTCTTCTCTCTCAAGCTGAAGTGGCTTGTATGGATAAATTAGAAAATCTTCTACATAATAAGTCCCATTTCTTAAACATGGCTATTAAAATAGTTTATATAGAGGTTTGGTACCAGTAGCTTCCATATGTAAAGCTGAACATAGCGATAAATGGTATGACCAGTATCTTCTGTCATCCGCAGGCTCTGGTAATTGCAGGCATCTCCCTTCAGGCAGCCAACCTCTACGGTTATATCCGCTGCAAGGTTGGAGGAGAGACTGGGATTCCAAGCTCAGCTTCATTCCTTGGACAGCAGTTTCTCCAGAGGGTAAATATGACACTTACTAACAGCTGCAAACAATACTGCACGAGACGGGCAACATGACCTGCATTTCACCTCTTTGTATTCTTAACGATTATTTTGAACATATTGGTCACTGGTGACATTTTGTGCCTCTGAAATAATTCCCTTGACAGACCAATATCCCCTTGTAATCATTAAACAAAGATAAGGACATAAATGTTGACTAGTTACAGTGTCCATTTCCACAATATAAAAAACTTTGTCATTTTCAGTACATGATGCATGTGTATTAGCTATAACATTTTGTGGTGGTTGCGCGCGTGTGTGTGTGTTTCATTGTAATTTGTTTTCATTTATTAATCTGAATGAATAGATCTGCACTGTAGATTGGAGTGCGTACATTCAGGTCAGGATATTTCAGGGCATGACTCACTGTTTGAGCTGCGAGCCGGCGGTATTTAAAACGCGATAAATAGCAGAAATAGGGTCTGAACAGTGTGGCATAAAGACACTGATATGTCATTTCTTGTTTTACAGCCAGACATCATATTTGGTGCTCTCTAAAGGAAGGTAATGCTTTTGCCATGGCTATGCTTGTAAGTGGCAAGTGTTTGGCCAACCAACAAGCATGTATTTTTCAACAATGGAACCGTCCCCAGTATCCTCTCTTCTTCCAGTATCCTGCCTCACACTGTCTCTGCACCAGAAGCTCTTACGGCAGATCTTTGATTTATTCTTCTCTCTCATCTACCCGTGATGGTCACTGGAGAAAACCGCTGCAATGATAAATAACGTTACGTCTTTTATTTTTGATAATTTAACTCGGCTTATCTAAATAATAAAATCTTCATTGTCAGATGTCTCCATTATGATTATTCTGGGATGCCAGGAAATGCCTGCCCTCCTCATCACCTAGAATGTTTCTGTACATGTACACCAGATGGCGATATTCCCCAAGAAAGTGTACCGATGAGACAGTGCTTGTTTCTCAGAGGAAACCGTAGGTAGGTCACCCACTCCATGACATCCTGCAGAGCTGGATTAGCCTTGAAAACATTTGTGGTACTAACAGTGACAGCCTGTGGGTGTTATAATGCAAAGAGATCAGAAATACTTTGCTGCCTAAGTCATTTTTGACTATCACAGCTTCAAATGCTTATGCTAAAACATGTTAACAGGTTAAACAGAACAATCGATTTCTGAACTCAGCTATGAGCCCCAAAAAACTGAATCCATCTATTTTCAGTTCATGATTAGGACATAGAGATTTGGGGCCTGCTCTGATAGGCACAGGGCTTACATGGGATAGTGTAGAGCAGTGTTTCTCAGCTTGGCCCTTGAGAACCTCCAGACGGTGTGTGTTTTTGGGAGGGAGCAGAAATATGGAATGTCAGGGAGGGAGCAGAAACGTGTACCATCAGGGGCTCCCCAAGGACTGGGTTTAGAAATACTGGTGTAGAACATGTTAAGCTGCACAATTACTCATTAAGCACAATATAATTCACCTGAATCTGCATCTTATCCAGGCAACACAGAGCAGGGGACACCTTGGGCAGGACGCCCATCTATCTCAGGGAACTTGCACAAACACTTGGTATTTAAGAAAAGCCCCATATCACAGGAAGAACATGCAAACTCCGCATGCACAGAGTGTGGGTGGGAATTCTTCTCTCAGCCCTGGAGGGGTGAAGCAACAGTGTTACCCGCCATTGTTAGAATATTACAGTCATGATTGCAAATGAAAGCATTCAGCCGTGAAATGAAGGAGGTGCACAACAGTTTGGTTCACAGGTGGCTAAAACTGCTCCTGCTTCCTGTTGCTATTCAGTTATCGTTATTATTTCTTTTTAATAACATATACATTGGCTCTGTTTTCAAGATTCTAATTAAAGGGAAACAAGGAACAGCACTTTTCACGCATGAACCATTTTACTTATGCACTATGGGTAAAAGTAGCCAGCATCTCTTGAAGGAGTGACCTGAATTCCCAGAGTAGATATATTTGTCCAAGTAGCAGAGTGTTGGGTATTCAGTCCAATCTCTGCTCCAGAAAACCACATGAATGTTTTGTTTAAAAGCCATAGTAATAACAGGTATTAAACACATATTAATTAAAATACATTCTAATATTAGAACCAATATGTGAACCTCAAATCCGTCACAGAGCCTGTGTTCGAGAAAATGCATCTATAAATAAAAGCACTGCAGTCACATGACATAAGTGCCCCACACAAACATATGGGTCATATATAATCCAGCCCCAGAATATTTGGAGTGGAATATAAATATATTCCAAACAGGTAACAGCATATTTCAATTCATATTCTGAACATATGTAAAAAATAATAGTAAAATTAAATGCAAAACATATTGCAGTACATGTTGTGTTTCTCTCCAAAATACATGACCGTTTGAGCTTTCCTGTAGATTCACTTTTGAAATGTGAGTTTTTATGGAAAAGATTATATATAATCAAAAACGTTAAGTTTTCCTGTAATTCTAATAGTGTTCTGTTGTGAAACACATGAAGGTGGCTGCAAAACATTTCAACAACTGAGGACTCAGATCACCAGAGTGGTTTTTATTATAATAAAAAATGTCTATAGAGAAGAGTCAGTGGGACAGAATAAGTCCAGGAGCAACTGGATCATTTGAATACTTTTTGATAGGAACATATTTTGGGTTTTGCAGTTTAAAGAGCCGATGGCCTGTGTGGTTCTGTGTCTTCCCCTGTGAGCCCGCGGTGTTTATATGATCAATCCAGTGAAACCCTTTGAAATGGTGAACACTTCTAAAAGTGTTTTAATTTTCTGCTTTCTGTGTCCTCTGAGAGTATCAGATGATACCCATTTACCTTCCAAACACTGATAGATATCCATCTATCATTCTGTTTGTGATTTTGCATTTATAAAGCTGCTTTATAAATCAACTATATGATATTAAGTCAGCCCCTGTGTTGGGGTAGCGTGTGGATCAGCGTGTGGATCAAGTCTCTGTGTCTGTGATCAGAAGGTTGCCAGTTTGAGTCCAACCTCAGCATCTTGAGCTGGACCCTTGACCCCTGGGTGCTGCTATGGATGGCTGCCCTTCATGGTCATCTAGGGAGAACAAGTTGGGGGAGGCATGAAAAGAATTTCCCCTTGGGGGTCAATAATTGTTATTATATTTAATTAGAAAATCGATTGAGCCTTTACACTTATATTTTGATTCCATCTACCTGTGTGACACATTGAGGAAATGCCTCAAGTGCTTAGCTTGCTTGCAGTTGTTACAATATTGATTCCCATCTTCTGGAGAATTTGGTATTTATGGGTGTAATGTTTTAGCTCAAAACATTTTGGAAGGTATGATGATTTTTGCACATCAGTTCCCAACATACAGCAGGCTCACATGAGTACATTTAGTCTTTCTTTGAGGATAACCTGCAATTCAGTGCTATTTTGGATTACTTTGGCTCAGAAAGAACATAAGAACATAAGAAATTTACAAACGAGAGGGGGCCATTCGGCCCATCAAGCTCGTTTGGGGATTTTAAAGGACTGGTTAGTTTCTGAAGTATAACAAATAGTGTTACTTGCATAGATGTGATACTGTATCAAATCCCATTATTTCTAAAAATTTACAATTTACTGCGTCTTCTGAGCCCTTTATTACAAAAATCTACAACATACTGTGCATCTGATGGCACCGTAGTCCTGGAAAGGATTCAACCTTCTGCTTTGGCTTCTTCTGTCCCAGTTATCCCTTTTGGAGTTAAAGATTTTTTTAAAAAAAGGAATTGTGAGCAATTTCTGACAGGAAGGGACATAGTGGTATTTCATTGGTCAGTAGTGTTGAGTTGCAGATAATGTGCCTTTGCTCCTTTGAAGTTTCAAAGATGGAAAAAACATGAATATTTCCATATAATCTGAACATATAAAGTATTATCCTGGGATTTCCATAATGTGTCAAGTGTGACTGCAGGCAGGGTTATGTTTCGCAATTAAAACCTATTTGTATTAATAAGCTGTGTTCTGCTTTGCCCACAGAACTGAAAGCACAGTAGATGGAGGCACAAGCCAGAGTGTTGGTCCAGCCCTATGTGTGACAAAGAAAGTCAATTTGTGCAAAGGGCATATCCAGCTTCCCAGGGAAGATGGGCCTTTAGCAACACCTCGATGAAAAGGGGGGCAGCATTGTTCTGCCATTTGGCCAGCAAATCTATTGTAATCCTTCAAACATTAAAAAAGGAATGAGTCATGCAAGTTTTGCATCAAAGGGATTTTTTTTAAATCCAATTACAGCACAGCATGAACACCAACGTCAGTTTCTGTAAGAATTACTTAGCAAATAAATTGAACACAGATCTTGAAAAATGCTAAACTGGCAATACTCCCCCCCGACCTTAAAGTTAAAGGGCCCTATTTTAACGATCTAAAGCACACACTACAAGTTCTTTTAGGGCGTGGCCAACACACTTTTGCTAGTTTAATGGCAGAGAAATAGTCACTGCGCCAGGTCCATGGTCCAGAAGGATTGTACTTAGTCTCGTAATTAGTTATGAGTGTGTTTGGGCCATGGCATGCTATAAACCAATCAGAATGTAATCTCCCATTCCCTTAAAGAGCTAGGTACGCTTGCACCTTGGCGAATTACTATTATAATGGCCGATTTGCCAGGCAGTAGAAAAGAACACTTTTCTGCAGAGGAAACTTGTGCATGAAGTGAAAGTGCATCAGTAGACTGTTGTGTTTATGGGTTATATTTTTGTGTTTGTGGGTTATATTTTAATAAAAACACAGAACTCAGGACTATGACTGTAGCGGTCCTTTTCTTCTTCACACTCTCAACAGAACACTGTTTGTAATAATGATAAACAATAAACTCCAACTCAAATATTTTATGTGTTTGAACTCAAATATGCAAAATGTTTCAGTACAATCAACATATTTTAAAGTTTGACTGTCCCTTATTGATTTCTTATTCTTACAAGATAATGTTTTTCTTGAAAGTTAGAGTTACTTTGCTTTACAGGCAAGACCTGTGGTTGTGGGACAATCACAGGTTCTGGTGGAACCTCTGCAGCTCTTGACTTAAATAAAATGGTTCTGACAGTGTGTGGCTGTAGTGAGGACACTTGGAACACTTCTGGAAAACCTCTGGGAACACTTCTGGCCATTACTGCTACTGAGAAATTTGTGAACATGAATGGTCCGACGAACTCGACATGAATTCTCTGCCAGGGAAATGCAGGCCATTCCCAGGGATGAAGAGATGCTGCTTCTAGAATCTTCTGAACACGCTGGCACCCAGAACAGTGCATATGAAGCTGCTCAATGCCAATGCCTTCATTTTGACCACACCAAAATGACCAATGTGAAGCTCCTCCAACACTTTAGCTCTGAGCTTGGATGGTTCCACAATTCTCAATTGTCACATAAGGCAACCCTCTTCAAGGGCAAGTTCATCACTGGGCTGGTAAAAATGGAGAAACTGGGGTAGGTCTTTTCTGGTTCCACTTTTCATCATTTGTACTGTAATATGGAGACTCTCAATTTTACTGAAGGAAAATACATCGACAGGAGTGCTCCCTTTTGAATGTTTTGATGTGTTACCTTTTCCAGAGGTAGAAAGGACAGTGCATCAGCATTTGCAAGATTATGAGTCCTCTTGAATTCAATCTTGTACTTGTTGTCGTTAGGTCCAATCACTCAGGGCTGTAGCCCCAAGTATTTTAGCCCCAATGCCAATCTTCCTTCAAAAAAAAAAAAAATAGCGGGAAACTCCCCTGGTGTCCACCCATAAACAGAGCCCACCTCTGCATTCTTGCTGCTGTGGTGAGCGGAACACCCCTCTGTGGGTTGACCATGCAGACTA